GATTTCATCGCCTCGCGATTCTCCCAACAAGACAACTGTTTGGAGTCTATTGCATGCCGACCACCTTGCATTTCGGTTGTGACAGATATGCAGTGAGTCGGAAAACTTCGGAAAACTAGCACAACTCAAATTCAAGATGATTGGCATACAATGAACTCGTAACAGTTGTCTTGTCTAATGGATCGCGAGGCGATGAAATTGCGTGATGTATGCCCGGCCCTTGGAACACAGGTGGCCGCAGCCATACGTGGAATGGCTGGACAACCTACTCTTAGGAGGTGGTGGTTTCCCAATAATTGGAATCATCGTCTTTGTGTTATTTTCGTAAAAATTCTTCATGTATCCCTCAATCGTTGTTCGTAGCACTTGCATATCTTTATAAGAGAGTCTGCCAATTACTCCATTTAAGTCAACCTGTATTTACGCTTATGAGCATCAAACATGCGTATAAACGAAAGACATTACCTCTACAGAATGCCTTTTCACAGCCAGCGACGGCAACCCACGCGGAGCTTCTGAGATCGGTGTGATCACCTGATTCATGGACATGCCAACACCAATGCTGAACTCATTGGAACACTGATTCAGTGTGCGCTTCTCGTCTTGCATACAGCACCAAGCGATGGACATATTCTTGAAAAAAATAAAATTTAAAATGTTTTGCGAAAAAAAAAACGTAAAAAGACAGTCATAATTCTATTATCATACCTGTATTTCCAAATTAGCCGAGATCACCCCATCAGCATCGTTCAGATTCAGCACAGCATTGGTGGTAGCGACTATAGCGCAGCTATTTGGCATACTGGGATTTTCTAGCAGATACAAGTCAGAATCCCTGAATCGATGTCATAGAATGCACATCCTTGCTTATGCCTGGTCCAATTTGGGAAGAACTTACCTCAGCGTGATTTTTAGCGATAAAGTCTGCGGTTGTTCTGGTGGTACACTTCCCATTCGTGCTATCACTCCACCATTAGGGGGATATTTCAAGTTCTCATCACGATCTGCAAGAGTAAATTTGACTGACTGTTTTAAAACACAAAGTACCCAGGCATCATTCATACGTCTAGCGATTCTGCCAGATCGCGGTCGCGCGCGATTTGGCAGTGTACCAGATGTCTACGGGTTCATCACAGGCAAACAGATTAAGCTGATGCAAGAAAGAGGGCAAATAAATTTCAGCTCATGCACAAAAGCGAAATCTTCCTGGCACTAGGTGCACTTGAAGGCAGTGTCCGGGCAAAAACTCGATTTTGAGTTTGCGCTTACCCGGGCCTATTCGCTATGCTGAATTCGGAAATCA